TGTGGGTAAATTACAGAACAATAACAAAATAGAACAATTATGATAATTAAAAACAATATGGGTAAAAAATATTAGGATTCAAATATCAAATGTAATAAAATTAATGTTTCATAGTTCTTGTATGAATTAAACAATAAAATAAATTCGGACAAAAAGAGTCACTGAGTAAAATAAACATCTGAAAACTTCTGAAAAATTAAATTAAATTAACCTTAATAATTCACAATTTTTTATATATAAAAACTACAGTAAATTAGTACACTAAAGTGTCACTGAATAAAATAATCACGATAAACATTCGAAAGTACAATCTCTATAAAAATAAAAGCATTCAATATTTTTTTTACTCTTCTATAATTTCACGTATTTCTTCTCTTTCTATTTCTGTTAAGAATGTTTTCAAATGTTTCTTGGATTTTTTGAGAGAGGGTTCCATTTTCAAAGTGTCCGGCAGATAATTGAACAATTTTGGGGCTATGTAATTGAAACTTTTTTGTCCGACTGTTTTGTTAATTTTTGGAATAACATACCTATTTTTCTGTCTTGTACTGTAGGAATGGGTAGGTTCTTTCAATTATTCTTTGTTCAAATATTGTTTAATACCTACTTGTACGGTATAGAGTTGTCTTATGTTACAGAGTAAAGAGAATAACTAGAATACTTCAGATCTATCTGTAGAATCATTTTGAGTAATCTTCTTTGAGAGACTTCTGTCAAAGTCAGGTAAGTTCGTGATACACCTCCCCACGATATGATCCCATAAGTCAAATGAGTTTTCACTAAACTTTTGTACACAATTTTTTGTTGTTTGAGGTCTAGACAAGATATGATAACAGAAAAGGCAATTTTCTCACAAGATATGATATATGCTCATTCCATCTCGAGTGTGAATCTTAAAATATACCTAAATATTTTATTTTTTTCACAAGTTCAATTTTCAAATCTTGTTGAATGGTTGGGTTATAGTGGTGGGGAAGAGAAGTTTCAAGACTACGGAACGGTAGGTAATGTGTTTTTTCAGTTTTCAACGAGTGTTGTCTACTGTCGAATCATTTTTTTAAATTTTCAAGTCACCTTCTGCTTTGACTTTAAGATCATAACAATTTTCAGCCGTGTAAATTATCACAGTATCATCCGCAAAACTGAGTATTTATCCATCTGTTTCCTGTAGAAAGAGGTTATTCATATATATTGTAAATAACACAAGCCCTAGTACCGTCCCTTGAGGTACTCTGCACGTTATTGTTTCTTCGGTGCTTCTTATATTTTCTATTTTTAGTTTTTGTTTCCTGTTACTCAAATAACTTTTGAATAAATTGTATGCTGCAACTCTGATGCCAATGTCATGCAGAGTAGCCAAAAGTATGCCGTGGTCAACGCTATCGAATGTCTTTAATGAATCTAAATAGACTCATATGGATGGTATTCCCTGGTCCAGACATTCATAGACAGTATTTGTTAGTGCGAGAATGGGCTTGTTTCATGCTATGGAAAATGATACTGGTTTGCTTATAGACTGATTGAGTTAGGGGTATATTATACTTATCAAGCTTAATCGGTCCCAAGATCTTTCTATATTTTCAGAAAGAAAAAACAATTCGAAAAGCAAGAATTTAAATTGGCCGCGTTTCTGTTGACCAATAAAATTGATCGTGTCTTGAGCGGAGTTGCCAAGTGTATTGGTTTTTAATATCCAATCACAGATCTGATGATCCAGTTTGACTGACGCCATTTTTGTTGTTATTGTTGTCAACTCGGTATGAAAACAACTGTTATAATTATCTAATTAAAGAAAGTTTTTTTTTGTAAAAGGTAGGTCTCGGCGGGTGCCTATTTTGCTGCATATTCCGTGTCATCAGTTTACATTCCGAAAAATATTTTTTCTGCTCATTTTTGGATTGAATTTTACCATTACTACCTTGTTCGAGCTAAAATAAAAACTAAATCAATTCACTGTACATATTTTTGCTTCTCTTTTCAGTCCCCATACTGCTGCTTGGTCGAGATAAAATGAAAATTAAATCAAATCTTCCCATCCTTCGATAAAATACAAAGTCTGAAATGAATGTCATTAAAAATAAAAGGGACCTACTAAATATAAAACCTACCGTTTCAATATTTCATTCTTCATTTCGGTACCAAAGTATTGCAAATTTTTCAAGTAAAATTCATCGATCCCTTCAAAACTAGGCTCAACATTCATTTTGAAATTGTTTTAACAAAAATACGAAATTATGTGTAGAAACCATTCTTTAGAAAGAGTACATTTTCGCATACACTACAGAGGGCGCTGGCTGACTGGATGACAATATGGCTAATAACCAGTAATGTTGAATTTCTTATTTTTGGTGTGTGGTATGAATGCATGATTAATTTTTTTTATTAGGGTTCATGAACATTTGAAAACAATTTGAAAATACAGCTATTTAAATTCTATTCAGAATTTTAGGGAACATAAGTCCTGTGTGGACTTATGTTCCCTAAAACCGTACTGTGAAGCAGACAGGATGTGGTATTTGTTAAGAAATTCATCTAGTGTATGTTTAATGATTTTTTTTGTTATTTCACTTGAAAATGTTATGAGTGAGATTGGTCTGTAATTTATAATATTTTGTCTATCTCCTCCTTTATCGAGAGTAACAACTGATAGCTTGAAAGCATCAGGGAAATGACCTAGTTCGAAAGATTTATTTATTATACAAGCCAGACGAGAACTTATAAACTTTTAGATAATTTCTAGAGTTTTCGCTTTTATTCCATCGTATCCTGGAGATTTTTTATTTTTCAAATCATTTATGGAATTTATTACTTCACTTTCAGAAGTTGGTAAGAAGAATTTAGTATTACTTTTTTTTTATTAAAATAGTTTTTGTCTCTAATGATTCTTTTTGCCAAATCTCTACCAATACTTAGGAAATGGTTGTTGAATATTTCGGCCATTTCTGCTGGATTACTGATATGTTCGCCAGTTTTATTTATGATTTTGTTCATTTTTCCATAGCCAGGGATTTTCAATACTTCGTTCATTGTTTGACAGAGTTTTTTTGAAATATTATGTTCTTGTTACACGCGATTTCTGTAATACATTTTTTGCTTGCTCAATAGAGTATTCTACTTCTTTTTTCTTTTGTATATATTCAATTTGTAATGTTTCATCACATGGATTTCTCTTCCATTTATGATACATATACTTCTTTGCATTTAACTGACTTTATTATAGATTTTGTGACCCATTTCTTTCTTCATTGTTCGTTATTTTTCACTTTAATTTATTTGGGTAGATTTTTCAATACAATTATTTATTACATCAATACATTTTTTTGTTATAGAATCGAGATCTAAATGGGGACAGATAACTTCATTCCACTCGATCTTTTGAACAAGTGCGGTTAACATGGAATCGTTTGAAATTTCGAAATATTTATTGGTTTGTTTACTTTTCGATTCAATTTTGTTACTTATTACGATCTGTTTAAAAATCTGTTTAAAATCTGTTTTTTCCGTTAACCAGCTGTCGCACTCCTACGAACGACAACCCTCAGAAGTCGAAACTTGTGCAAGCTGAGGATTAACGAGGTCTTACCTTTTAACGTGTGATTCCTAACACGGGTTGGACGATAGCAAGTGAAGATCGATCGTTCAGACTAGGGCTTGAACCACCGACCAACACGGCAGTCAATTCGAGTGAGTGAACAAATCACCCACGCCGAACCGCTTGGCTACCGACCGACTGGAGTAATATTGTATGGTGATCAGTTATAGCCGTGTCTACTGTAACAGGTAGTATCATGTCATATTTATTGCTCTCAGAGTTAATGAAAATATGATCTAGACACATTTTTTTAGAATATTTCCATAAATAACATTATGATATCGCCATATTGAATTTGGAAGAGATTACTTCTACCGTTTTCGAAGGAAATGGTCACTTGAGTTGAATGGTTGAAAA